AAAAAAAAAAAAAAAAAAAATTAGCCAGGCATGGTGGCTTGTGCCTGTAGTGCCACTACTTGGGAGGCTGAGACAGGGGGAATGCTTGAGTCCAGGAGTTTGAGGCTATAATGAGCTATGATTGCACCAGTCCTGGGCAACAGAGTGTGACCCCATCTCTAAAAAAATTTAAAGATTAAAAAAAGAGCTGGGTGCGGTGGCTCACACCTGTAATCCCAGTACTTGGGGAGGCCAAGGCGGTGGATCATTTGAGGTCAGGAGTTCAAGACCAGGCTGACCTGGTCTTGATGGGGTGAAACCCCATGTCTACTAAAAATACAAAAATACAATTCCAGCTACATGGGAGGCTGAGGCAGGAGAATCGCTTGAACCCTGGAGGCAGAGATTGTAGTGAGCCAAGATCACACCATTGCACTCCAGTTGCTCTTGGGCAACAAGAGCAAAATTCAGTCTCAAAGAAAAAGAAGGCTGGGCGCATTGACTCATGCCTGTAATCCCAGCACTTTGTGAGGCCAAGGTGGGTGGATCACAAGGTCAGAAGATCAAGACTATCCTGGCCAACATGTCACCACTAACCTCACTCTACTAAAAATAAAAAAATTAGCTCAGCGTGGTGGCATGTGCCTGTAGTCCCAGCTACTCAGCCGGTGCCTGTAACCCCAGCTACCAGGGAGGCTGAGGCAGGAAAATCGCTTGAACCCAGGAGGCAGAGGTTGCAGTGAGCCGAGATCGTGCCACTGCACTCCAGCCTGGGCCAAAGAGCAAGACTCCATCTCAGAAAAAGAAAAGAAAATGGATGAATGTTAGGAAGATGATAGCAAAAGCAGGGAGCCATGTTAGAATTCTGAGTAATAGGGAGAAGAGAAGAGACAGTTTTGTTCTGTGTGCAGAGGTGGAACTGCCTGATGTTGCCGAGGCTTTGTATGTGAAGGGCAAGGGAGGGGAGGTATCAAGTCTGACTACTTGGTCTCTGGCTTGAGCAACTGGAAGAATAGAGGTGTGTCACTCCCCAAGATGGAGAAGATGGTGGAGGACAGATTAGAGGTGGGGAGATCAAGAGTTCATCTTTTTTTTTTTTTTTAATGGAATTTCACCATGTTGGCCAGGGTGATCTCGAACTCCTGACCTCAGGTGATCCACCCGTCTTGGCCTCCCAAAGTGCTGGGATTACAGGCGTGAGCCACCGTGCCTGGCCTAAGAGTTCTTCTTAAGGCCGGGTGCAATGGCTCACACCTGTAATCCTAGCGCTTTGGGAGGTCTAGGTGGGTGGATGGCTGGAGCCCAGGAGTTCAAGACCAGCCTGGGCAACCTGATGAAACCCCATCTATACAGAAACTAGCCAGGAGTGGTGGCATGCAGCTGTGGTCCTAACTACTTGGGAGGCTGTAGTAGGAGGATTGCTTGAGCCTGGGAGGAGGAGGTTGCAATGCACTGAGATTTGGCCAATGCACTCCAACCTGAATGACAGAGATGAGACCCTGTCTCAAAAAAAAAAGAAAAAAAAAAAAGTTCTGTAGGGAGAAGACCCCATAAGTGCTGAGGCAGGAGCCAAAAGCCTCAGCCTATTTCCATGTAAATAATGGAGAAGAAAGTAACTAGAAATATAACATATAACCATAGTAGTTATTAGTTATTCAAAGGTGATCTTATTCACAGGTGATCTTGTTTTTTTTTTATTTTTTTTAAAAAAGACATTTATTCAGTGTCACAATCAGACTATTACATTTAGCAATCAACAGCATGGGTGCAAAAAGAAAAAAAAAAGAAAGAGAAAAAGAAAAAAAATCTACATTAAAACCCTTTGTTAGAATGCTTTACACTTTCCACAGAACAGAAACTAAAATAACCTGTTATACAATTAGTCACAAATACAGTTCTCAAGTTTTTTGCCCATATACATGAGTATTTGTCTAAATCATGTCTTCTTTGTAGCAGCTAGGCCCTGCCACCACTGTGCTTGGCTGAGTTCACAAATCTGTTGTAACCTGTAGCTTCGCTGTCACTTCTTTGGCTCTCCTCTCCTCTCATTAGGAAGCTTTGTTTCCTAATGAAAATCTTCTGCCACTGCCATAGCTACTGCTGCTACTGGAACCGCCATAGCCACCTTGGTTTCGTGGCTTGGCAAAGTATTGGCTGCCACCACCATAGGGGCCAGAGCTTCTGCCTCCAAAGTTTCCTCCCTTCATGGGCCCAAAATTTGAAGACTGATTGTTGTAACTGCCAAAATCATTGTAGCTTCCACCACCTCCAAAATTGCCTCCACTACCACCACCAAAGCCGCCTCCGCCTCCGTTGTTATAGCTGTCGTAGCTGCCACTCCCGCCATAGCCACTGCCCTGGTTTCCATAACCCTGTCCACCACTTCCATAGCCTCTGCTTCCTCCAGAGTAACCAGGGCAGCCTCCTCCATAACCACCTTCATTACCAAATCCATTATAGCCATCCTCACTGCCACCATATCCACCACCACCACGGCTGCCACCAAAGCCACCACGACCACTGAAGTTTCCTCCATAACCAAAGTTGTCATTCCCACCGAAACCACCTCCACGGCCACCACCAAAGTTTCCAGAACCACTTCGACCTCTGTCTGGATGAAGCACTAGCCATCTCTTGCTTTCACAGGGCTTTCCTAACTTCACAGTTGTGGCCATTCACAGTATGGCATTTCTTTTTTTTTTTTTTTTGAGACAGAGTTTCACTCTTACCCAGGCTGGAGTGCAATGGCGTGATCTCAGCTCAACGCAACCTCCTCCTCTTCGGTTCAGGCAATTCTCTTGCCACAGCCTCCTGAGTAGCTGGGATTACAGGCACGCACCACCATGCCCAGCTAATTTTTTGTATTTTTAGTAGAGACGGGTTTCCCCATGTTGACCAGGATGGTCTCGATCTCTTGACCTCATGATCCACCTGCCTCAGCCTCCCAAAGTGCTGGGATTACAGGCTTGAGCCACCGCGCCCGGCCTACAGTATGGCATTTCTGAATGACAATCTTATCCACGGAGTCATGGTCGTCAAAGGTAACCAAGGCAAAGCCCCTTTTCTTGCCACTGCCTTGGTCAGTCATGATTTCAATCACTTCAATTTTCCCATACTGTTCAAAGTAATCTCTTAGGTGATGTTCTTCAGTGTCTTCTTTAATGCCACCAACGAATATTTTTTTCACAGTTAAGTGGGCACCTGGTCTTTGAGAATCTTTTCTTGAGACAGCTGTCTTTGGTTCCACAACTCTTCCATCCACTTTGTGTTGCCTTGCATTCATGGCTGCATCCACTTCCTCCACAGTTGCATAAGTGAGGAACCCAAAGCCCCTGGAGCGCTTGGTGTTTGGATTTCTCATTACCACACAGTCTGTGAGCGTTCCCCATTGCTCAAAATGGCTCCTCAGGCTCTCATCGGTTGTTTCAAAGCTCAACCCTCCAATAAAGAGCTTCCTTAGCTGTTCCGGCTCTTTAGGAGACTCTGACTTAGACATGATCGCAGGGAGAAGAGAGACTTTAACCATGCTTCTTCGGCGTCCACAGGCAGAAAGGAGATCTTAATTCTTTTACTAATGCCTCTCAGGTCACAAGTATGAACCTGGGGCAACATTGTGAAATGAATGACTCTAAGGCAATTGCTTTAAGCCCTCTGTCACGCCCTCATAAGGGCTGCTGGAGGGCACCTTGGCTGTGCAGCAGCGCCAGCACTAGGAAAGCTCCCGCTGTTTTAGCCAGCTAGGGAAGGAGCTGTCCAAAATGGCCAAGACATCTCCTTCCTCGGAGGAGTTAGGAGAAAAACGCTTCTCCGAGCTCTTGCAGTAGGCCTGATGCTGTGAGGTGGGCCTGCAGACATCCAGGGCTTAATTGTTTCTATGTGATGCTGTGCGTCAGTGGTCAAGTTCCAGGTCGACCTCACGATCCGCTTCTGCACCTGGTTCCTTTTTTCTTGTAAGAATTAATCAGTAAGAGTAAGGTAAATCTTAATGTCTTTGTGACAAGTATGAAAAAGTGCTGATGCATTTTGCTCCTTGCCTCATCTTGGCTACCTGAAAGTCTTGGCCACACCCTATTTTACGCTGTCCCCAGTCACTGACCACCAAGGCCACGCCCTACGTACGCCCTACCCACCCGGCCCCCAGATTTGCAACTCAATAAAAGTGAGAGTGTCTGGGCATTCGCGGCCACTGCCGGACTCCATCCTTTGGTTGGCAGTGGATCCCCAGGCCCAAACTCTTTTTTCTCTATGTCTGTGTCTTGTGTCTTATTTCTACAGTTTCTTCTCTCCCAACCAGCAGGGAGGGGCTCACAGAACCCTGTAGGGCTGGACCCTATAAAGTTCAGTTTAGAATATGTTAAGTTTGAGATGTCAGAGAGATAATCAGGCAGTTGGATCTAGGGGTCTGGAACTACCTTCTTCCTCCATGCCATTTGAGGTTGGGTCTTGCAAAGAAGGAAACTAGGTGGGTGGGGTAGAATTCATGACCATGGATTGGTGGGGGTGAGTGTAGCAAGATAAGGGGCTTGAACGTGTCTTGATGAGCAAGCTGTTAGTCTTGATAGGTAAACTGTTTAGTTTACAATCTTCTCTTTCAGGAGCAGGTATTTCCCGAAGCAAGCAGCCAGGAAAAAATTTATTTTTGTTTGTTTGGCGTAGTGTTATTTTTTTTCTTTTTTTTTTTTTTTTTTTTTTTTGAGTCGGAGTTTCGCTCTTGTTACCCAGGCTGGAGTGCAATGGCGCAATCTCGGCTTACCGCAACCTCCGCCTCCTGGGTTCAGGCAATTCTCCTGCCTCAGCCTCCTGAGTAGCTGGGATTACAGGCACGCGCCACCATGCCCAGCTAAGGTCGTAGTGTTATTTAACACAGGAACAAGAAAGTGTGTTCATATCAGTTTTTTTTTGTCTGTTTGTTTGTTTTGAGACAGAGTCTTGTTCCGTCTACCCAGGTTGGAGTGAAGTGGCGTGATCATGGCTCACTGCAACCTCTGTCTCTGGGGTTCAAGCAATTCTCGTGCCTCAGCCTCCTAAGTAGCTGGGATTACAGGCATGCACCACCACACCCAGCTAATGTTTGTATTTTTTTTTTTTTTATTCAAAGAGAGGGGGTTTCAGCATGTTGGCCAGGATGGTCTTGATCTCCTGTCCTCATGATTCACCCACCTTGGCCTCCCAAAGTGCTGGGATTACAGGTGTGAGCCACTGCGCCCTGTCTGTTTGTATTTTTTTTTTAATTTTTATTTATTTATTTTTTTTTTATAAAGATGGGGTTTCACCATGATAGCCAGGCTGGTCTTGAACTCCTGACCTCAGGTGATCCACCCACCTCAGACTCCCAAAGTGCTAGGATTACAGGCGTGAGCCACTGCGCCCATCTTCACAGTTCTAATCTTCATTAACTAAGTGTTCTCAGGCAAGCATCTTTTTTTCAGGCAAGCACCCTTTAATGATAAAAATAGTGATTACACAGTGCTTACCCTATGTCCAGCATCTCTAAGCACTTTATGGGCATTAAGTAATTTAATTCACACACTATTATTTGCCCAATGTCATAGATGTGCCTCTTTTAAGCACAGACAGGTTAAGTAAACTGTTCAAGGTCACATAACTAGTAAGTGTGGGCCCCCACGTTCAAACTCTGAATTTCTCCCTCAGCTGCTTAACTTGTCATTTTCTGCTTATATTGAAGGAGTCAGCCCTGAGGATAAGGGATGTTGGGGAAAAACTTTTCCTCCATACTCTTAAGTTCAAGTACTAGATATCTGCAAATTGGACTGACAAAAGACAGATTTGCAAATTTGTTTATGCATGCAATGCTCATATGCACAGGAGTGCTCAATGATGCACAACTCAAAAGGCTGGTTAAAATTTGGGGCTTATGTACTGTAGTAGGGGAAGTGGAAGGGGCAAGAAAGTGCTCCTGTGGGAAGAATGAATAGGTTTCTTTATGAAACACAAATGAGTTTTTAGGAAAACAAACTGGAGATAAAGTTTGTGATAACGCTTGCTTATGCAGGGGCTCATGGTCTTTTTATTATATCTTCATAGCTGTGAAACTCCCCTAGAGAGGGAATTTGAAGTAGGTTTACCCTTGGTCTCTTTCCTGGAAGAGTCCTTCTGGAAGAAGGACTATATAGCTGTCTTCATTTCTCAAAGGTTTCTGCTTTTTTAATAAAAATTAGCCTGTACTTGGCTGGATGTGGTGGATCACATCTGTAATCTCAGCACTTTGGGAGGCCAAGGCAGGTGGATCACTTAAGCCCAGAGGTTTGAGACTAGCCTGACCAACATGGAGAAATTCCATCTCTACTAAAAATACCAAAAATGAGCCAGGCATGGTGGTGGGTCCCTGTAATCCCAGCTACTTGGGAGGCTGAGGCAGGAGAATTGTTTGAACCTGGGGGCAGAGGTTGCAGTGAGCCAAGATTGCACCACTGCACTCCAGCCTGGGTGATGGAGTGAGACCCTGTCTTAAATAAACAAACAAACAAAAATTAGCCTGTGCCTGTATTTCTGGCTAGTGGGGGTGGGGGTGGGGTGCTGAGGTGGGAGGATGGCTTGAGCCTAGGAGGTCGAGGCTGCAGTGAACAATGATTGTGCCACTCTGCTCTAGCCTGGATGACAGCAAGACCCTGTCTCAAAGAAAAAAAAGTTCTGGCCGGGCACGGTGGCTCAAGCCTGTAATCCCAGCACTTTGGGAGGCCGAGGCGGGTGGATCACGAGGTCAAGAGATCGAGACCATCCTGGTCAACAGGTGAAACCCCGTCTCCACTAAAAATACAAAAAAAAAATTAGCTGGGCATGGTGGCGCGTACCTGTAATCCCAGCTACTCAGGAGGCTGAGGCAGGAGAATTGCCTGATCCCAGGAGGCAGAGGTTGTGGTGAGCTGAGATGGCGCCATTGCATTCCAGCCTGGGTAACAAGAGTGAAACTCCGTCTCAAAAAAAAAAAAGTTCTTCTTTTAGTCAGATTTAGGAATCCCCAAGAAGGCTTCTTTCAACATCTGTTGAATCTCAAATGTCTTCAGTTTAAAATAATCTTTATACACCAAATCAGGGATTCTGAGTAGGTCCCCACAGGGCTTATCCAGTTCCATCATACTTTGCCTCACTGTGAAATGGCAAAGGGGGCAAAAGCATCCTGAGGGGAAGGGAAGGAGTTATATTTATAGGGCATACATTAGATGGCTGGCAGCAGTTTTCACCTCATCTCATTCCATCCTCCCAATACCCCCACGCAAGCAAATATTAGTGAATCCCCATTTATCAGATTAGGAGACCACGGCTCAAGGACAAAAAATTTACCCAGGATGCCCAACCTGCACCTGAGGTTGCCAGAACTGAGAACACGTCTGCGTGGCCTCAGAGCAGGGCTGATGCCAGAACAATGAAGGCAGAGGGCAGGAATGGCCAGTCAGTTGGGAAGCAACACTGGGGCCACACTTTGGAGATCAGAGGCTGAGACCATATTGGAAAAGTACCTAGCAATTCCACCAGGATGGCTCTGGAGAGCTAGAGAAATGCTGGTGCTAGCCCTCCCCATCTGTCTATCCCCCAGGGCCATTTGTGGTCTGAGACAATAATGGAAGTTTCCAGCCAGTCAGTCAACATGGCTCATGTCTGCAATCCCAGCATTTTGGGAGGCTGAGGTGGGAGGATCGCTTGAGCTCAGGAGTTTGAGACCAGGTTGGGCAACATAGGGAGACCCTATCTCATAAAAAAAGTTTTAAAAATTAGGCAGGCATGGTGGTGGTGTGCCTGTAGTCCCAGCTACTCAAGAGGCTGAGGCAGGAGGACTGCTTGAGCCCAGGAGGTTGAGGCTACAATGAGCCATATTCGCACCACTGGTGACAGAGCCAAAACGTGGCTCAAAAAATAAAAATAATAAAGGATGTTAGCCACAGTTCAGAGAAGATAGCTGGAGGTCTGTGAGGGGAATGCCTTCAGACTATGGAACCCCTCAGGCCCATCTTCCTTCTCTCCAAGTAGACACTGGGCCTGTCTCCCAGAGCCTCCACCATACCTTGAGTACTTAGGGGAATACACAGGAGGCTTTGATTTCTGTCCCCTTGCTGACCCAAAGGCAGACTGCAAGTGCTGTTTCTTTCCACCTGATTTCCACAAAGTTTCTCCCCTTCTTTTTCCTGAGAATTGAGAAAGTTAAAATAAGCAAGGAATGAGAAATCTGAAACATGCTCTGCCATTCATCTGGCTGGGATAACAAAGATAAAGCCAGCTACAAAGTTAAACAGGAAACCCAATCTCTCCCAAGGATAAACTGCCTTCCCAAAGTAGCATAAGGAATATTATTTTCTTTTTTAACTCTTGGCAATCTCAGAAATCTTGTTCTCCAAAGTCATAGGCTTTCAGAAACTTTGCTGGCTGAAATTATTGTTATTATTTATTTAGAGACAGGGTCTCAGTCTGTCACCCAGGCTGGAATGCCATGGCGCAATCACAGTTCACTGCAGCCTCGACCTCCCAGGTTCAAGTGATTCTTCCACAGCCTTGCCAGTAGTTGAGACTACAGGCGTGCAT